TGCCCTTCGGCACGGCGCTCGCGCTACGTAGTGATTTGACCCCCCGGCGAGCCAGGCCCCTTCTCCCCCCCCTTCCTCCTCCGCCGCCGCCCTTCCGCCTGCTGCTTCGAGCCCTGCGATTGCCGCTGAGCGCAGTCGCAATCTTGGAGCCACTGGTGCTGAATTTGATCCGTTTCTCGCCGACAGCGAAACTGCTGACTTTTGATTCGCCTCGGGCACTGCTGAGACCAGCGCTCTCAATGCCGCCAGCTCAAGTGGGCGACCAGCGCCTGGGCCCGCTCCGCTGCCCGCTGCTGGCGATGTTGCCCCGCCTCATGTCCCAGGGCCTGCTTGTTCGTCGGAGCGGGCGCCCCCCCCGCAATGTGAATCGAGCTCTGGCACGGGGGGGGGATGAGGCACCGTGCGTGCCTGAGCCGACTCAGGCATCGGAGGAAGCCGTCTTCCAATCCAAGGCGCGCCGTCTTTTAAGAGCTGCGGGAGGCAGCCCTGCGGAGAACGCTGGCTAGCGTGGGCTCTGAATGGGCCGGCGCGCCGGCGGCGGATATGGGGGGCAGCCGCGAAGGTATGATGCGGTTTTCTGGATTCGCGTGAATTGTTCACTGTGCATAATGTTTCACGCGATGTCATTCAGCTTCGCTCGCTTGCCGCCCTCCCGCTATCATGCCTCGGCCTTTTGCGGCGGGTTAGCCGCGTGCGCAGCGCCCCCTTCCCCGCGTCCCTTCTCTAACTCAAGCCAGTCCCAACCCTGCCGCCCACCTCTCCAGAGGCCGCCCTCCGCCGCGATCCTGCGGGCACTCTGCTTGAAGAGTGATGACCTGTGCAGCCCCCCGTTTGAGGGCGGCCAGGGCAGCCTTTATCCAGCGGGACAAGAAGGTCGCCTGACGGCCGCCACTCTTGTCATGCTGTCCTCCGACGGCACCGATTCTGCGCGCTCCGAGGAAAAAAATGGCCCAGCCAAGGTCGCCCTTTATGCGGGGGGGGGGGGGGGGGGGGGGGCGCCCTACCTTGGGCGTGCGGGGCGCCGCTGGGGGCCGCCCCAGCCAGGTGGGTTACGCGCGTTATAGCGCCGCGCAGCATTCCAACTCCCAGTCGCCGGTTCACTGGGTGCCTGTTAGGGCGTGGGCTAGGCTAAGGTTATTTCGTTTCGGTATTCGTATTCGTCTTAGGCTGTGGGGCATCAGGTCGTCGTTTCGTCGTTAGGGAGGTGGGCCGGTGTAGGAAGCTTGACTGGGGGAGGGGCGTGCCCGCCCTGCATGCTGGGGCGAAGCCCGACGCGGGCAGCGCCATCATGTGGCAATGTCGGGATAGGGCGCCATCCTGCCTCCTCGCTCTCCCCCGCCTCGTCGCCTTCCCCCCCCCCCTTTTCCCCTCTCTCCTCCTCCCTCTTCCCCGGCTGCGTCGGGGCGTCTCCAGGGGGGGGCCGGGGGCCAGCTTGGAGCGGACCAGTCGGCTTTGAGTGAGAGTGTTCACGTCGAGGTTTGAACCTCGAAGCTCGGGGTTCGTGTTTGTTAGCTGTCTGGCCCTCGGTGCCCCTCCTTGTCGCCACGGGTGGGCTCAACTCGAAAAACTGCTGCTTTTGGACCCCGAAGGATCCGGTGAGGCGGCCCGCGATTTCCGTGCTTCTAAAATTCTTAGAGTCACGCAAATTTCCAGCCATCTTGAGCGGAGGTTGGCCAGTCCTGAAATTTGCGTGACTCTGGCAGTTTTTAACGTCGCGCGAATTTTCTAACCTTTTTGATTGGTTGTTGGCTGGTTGTTCGATTAACGCAAGTATCCATGCGGGGGCTGGGGCGACAGACATTCCCCAACCATGTCCAGAGGGGCAGTAACATTGGAACCCGAGCGTGGGCTGGAGCGAATGCCAGTCCCCAGCCGCGCCAAGGAAAAGGGTCGGCCGTGCGTCCGAGCGCGAACTGGGGGACATCCCTCCCCTGGCCACGCCAGAGGACTTTATAATGGGCTTGTAGTCCTGCGTGGGCTGGGGGGACTTCCATCTCCAGCCGCGCCATAGGGGTTGTAAGATAGGAATCCGAGCGCGGGCTGGTGCGAATTCCTCTCTCCAGCCACGCCAGAAGGGCATCAGAAGGACTGACGTCCGTTCCGCAGCCATTTTAAGTCAAACCCGTGAGCCTCCGGAGCGCCACAGGGGCGCTGCTGCGGCAGCTGGTGTGGTGGTGGTGGTGGTGGTGGGGGGGGGGCGATCCTGGCTACCGCCGCGGCTTGGGCGCCGCTCATTCTGCTGAGTGGCGGGGCGGGGGCAAGCTCCCCCTCGCCGAAGCAGCTGGGGGCTTACTGGCGTGGGGCGCCGCGGAGCCCAGAACTGCGACCAACTACGAGCCCTGCAGGGCTGCATGGGGGCCCCTCAGAACAAGCGCCGCTGCTGGCTGCGGTGACCTCGCTGCGCTGTTCTTGGGTGTGTTCAGTATCTTCGCCTCCGTCCAAACGCTAGCGGAATTGGCGCTCTTCCGGATGCGCGACGCCGCTGCCGCGCCTGTTCTGTCCGCCATGCGAAACCCGTTTGCTGAACTGGGGGGCAAAAGTTACAATCTTCGGGCCGCCACCCGCGGCTCCTTCGCCCACGCAGTGCTTAAAAGGCCGCGACGTCCTCGCGCTTCGATGCAAGAGCATCCGGATACTGCCTTGCTTTAGGCCACCCTCCGCTCAGCGTGCTCTCCGTGGATTGATGGCGCGGCTGCTTTTTCTTCGATCGAAAGCTTTGGCGTTTCACGTGCTCCGGAGTCTCCGCCGCTGCCTGAGTTCACTCGGCGATGATGCTGTCGGCCTCTGCGCCGCGCTCCTCGCGGCAGCTGGGGCGTGCCGATGGCCCGACTTTGCCAAGCGCGCTTCTAACGAGCGTTGCGTTGAGGCCCCGGTGTTCCGGAATGGCGCTCAGCAGCGCCTGAACGTCGATTTGCAGGAATACACCCACGAGAAGGCACTAAGGGCGCATCCTCAGGGCTGCGCCGCTCCGCCGGCCCTCGCGGCTTTCTCCCTCCTCCCCCCCCTCCTCGCCCCCCCCCTCTCTCCTCCCCGCCTCTTGCCCTCCGCTTCTCGTTCCGCTCCTCCTCCTCACTCGCTCCCCCCCGCCCCCCCCCCATCCGCGCTGCCCCGGCCTCCGCTCCCCCCCTCTCTTCCTTCTCACAATCAACCCTCGTCGTAAGGATGGGCAACCTTCCCTTGGGCACCTTTGCATCCTTGCCTCCGTGGTCTATCTTTGGCCGATTTGACTGGCCATCCTCGTTCGTTTTCCGTTCGCGTGGCGCTCTAAGGCCCTGGCACCCTCACCGCGCATCCTCATTGTGCGGGTTGGCCGTGCTCGAGCCCAGGGCGAAAACCACCGAGCCGAACCGCGAAGGGCGGTGGGCGGAAAGCGCCTTCTTCTTTGCCCCGGCGTCCGACTGGCTGGGGGGCGAACGAGGCGAGCTCTTGGGCGAGGAGGACATCCGGGAATTGCTCCAAGGCACTATTTTCCGCCATTGGTGGATCCTTATGCTTCCACATGTCTTGGGGGGCTTGACAGTCTTGGGTTTGGCCGGCTCCGTGGACTTAAGCGCCCGCGGGCTTGGTGACAATGTTCGGCTCGGCAGCAAGGTGCGGGGCGCTCCATCTGAGAAGATGGCGGCCGCGCTCCGGAATGAGCGGCGGCGCCGTCGCAGACTCGCGTCAGCTGGTAGCGCCAGGCGCGCTCTGGGCGCTCTTATATCCGGCTTCGACGTTGCCGCCTTGCCTTGTGCGCATTGCAAAACAACCCACGTCGGGAGGAACTCCATTGCCGCGCGGGCGTTCTCCAATTGGCGCTTGGAGGAAGCGCCCCAGCTCACGGAGGAGTCGCCGTCATTGGCGGCTTCCGCAAGCAAGCCGCGACGCGATCAGAAGCGCAAGAGTGTCCCATGATCCTTCGGCGGGCGACCGGCGGCTCTTCTTGACGCATTCGCACCGGGGGATCGGATGGGGGAGGGAGGAGAGAGTAGGAGAGCAGGCGGGGGAGAACAATGCGTATCCTTGAGCTCGCCTGCTTGTTGGCGGCGCCCATCCACGCTAGCGCTTCGCTCTGGGGTGCGAAGGAGAAATGTCAGGCAGTGCCCTCGTGGCCTGCGCCAGCGGCCGCCCTCGCCATCCCCCGCCCCTCCCTGATCCCCCCCCTCTTCCAGGCCCACCATCCGCCCCGCTCTCCCTTTCCGCTTGCCTCTGCCCCCCTTCCCCTTTTCCATCCCCTCATTCGTCCCTCGGGGGGGCGGAGATGCCTCCTCCGTCCGCCTCGTAATCAGGACAGGGGTGGCCGAAGAGGGGGATGGTGGAGGGAGAGAAAAGGGCCCCACGACGACGACGACAACGACGACGACGGCCAGCACGCGGGCCGCTTCCGCCCCAGGGGGGCGGTCTGCCCGCGCGAGGAGAGCGTCAAGGTCCCCGCCGGCTCCCACTGCCCTCCCCCCCTTGCGCTCTCCTCTCTGCCTCCTCCTCCTCCCCCGTCCCAGGGCAGCCCAACCTCTGCAGCCTGCCTTGTGGTGCCCGATGCTGTTCTGGTAATCTGGGATCTGCAGGTGGTTGTCCTCGCCGTCCTGCTTGTCTGCGGCCTGCTGGGAGCTGTCCTCGCTGTTCTCCTCGTCCTGGAGGAGGTCGTGGTGAACCATGCCCATGTTGCTCCGTCCTGCTGGTGGGGGACGGGCGCCCCTCTGCATCCCGTCTGGCGCAGGGCTGCGGTCTAACCCCTCGCCACGCTGGGGTCCTCTGCGGCCTGCCCCCTCGCCGCGCAGGGGATTTTCATGGCCTGACCCCTCGCCGCGCAGGGGCCTGCTGCGGTCTAACCCCTCACCGCGCTGGGGTCCGCTGCGGCCTAACCCCTCGCCGCGCTGGGGTTCGGTGCAGTCTAACCCCTGACCGTGTTGGGGACCTCCATGGCCTGGCCCAACGCCAAGCTGGGGGCCGTTGCGGTCTAACCCCCTCCCCGCGCTGGGGTGCTGGGCCTCCTTCTTGTTCTGCTGCTGGCGTGACCGCACCGAGGAGCTGTTCTGCCATGGTCCTGCGTCGCGCCGCCTCGCGAGGGTCCTGCCGCTGGATCCCCGCGCGCTCCATTCCACTGTTGGGCCAGGCCATGCGGCAGATGTCCTCTGCCGCTCTGCGCTGGCTGTTTTGGCTGCTTGGCCCTGGGATTTCACTGAAGAGCCGCTGGTATGGACTTGTTTGGAGCTCCCTCGGCACATGGGGTACGCGCGCCGCGCTCCACGTCTGCCAGCCGCTCTCGCCTGCTAGCTGGGCCCAGCCTCCTGCCAGCGTTTGCATGAGCTGCTCCAGGCGGTTCCTCTCGAGCCAGGCCAGCTCACGCCCAGGGTCTTCTTCATCTCCTCGTTGCTGGCAGAGGCGCGGATGCTGCGTGCCCGCCTCCTTGGCCTCCCGCGCGTACTTCATCAGGTCGGGCCCTGTCGGCTTGGCGATCCATGGCGCCCCCTGCATGGTCGTGCTGGCCTTGGCGCTGGTTGTGGCATCGTTGTGCTGGTCTAGCGCCTCGACGATGCCCATGCCATGGTCGCTGTCATGGCCTTCCAGCTCTGGCACCTCGCTGTCTGGTTGCGTTGAGTCGTCGTCCAGGTGCTCTGGGGTCCACGCCCTGTAGCCGTCCGCCGTGCTGGGTAGTGGCCTGCGATCGCTGCTGGGCATGCTGTGGGTGAGGATGATCGTCCGCCTGCCCTGGAAGGCTCCCATGTGTGCCCTTGCCGCCTGCTGTCTGGTGCCGCGTGGGAGGGTGAGCATGTATGTCATGAGCCTCCTTCTCGCCTTGTGGGTGCCCTTCCAGATGTCCTCGCAAAATTCGCTGGTCTGCTGGATCTCTCTTGGCGTGGCTGCCTTCTTCTGGTCTTGGGCGTCCGTCCTACTTCCAATGGTGACGGCTACCAGGTACGGGACACTGTGCTCCATCCAGTCGTCCTTGTCCTCCCACACATCCGGGTCCACCATGTCCATCCACTGCTCCGCGTAGCCCTCCATGTGGTCCACAAGCTGCCAGCTCGCCTCGGCTGCTGGGTGGGGATGTCTTGGCGGTTGTGGCTGAGCTTGCTGCGGTGTCTCTGCTTCCGAGCTTTCTCCGTCCAGGTCGATCACCTCTGCGCTGCTCACCCTTGGGTTGAAACCCGCAATCGTGACCTCCTCTGGTGGCGCGGCTGCCGCTTGGTCCTCGTCATGCTTTGCTCTTCGCGGCAGCCTCCCCTTCTGCAGGTCCATGATGACTCGGCGCCCCGCTGTGGTGGGCGGGACACATGGCTTGGCCAGCTTGCGAGCAACGCCTGCAACGATTCGGCTCTTGTGGTTCCCAAGGTAGCTTGTGGCCCCGCACTTCTCGCACCAGAGCCAGCCCTGCGTGAGCTGCGTCTTGTGGGTGTCATGGACGACCCGCGTGCCGATCTGCACTGTCTTGAAATCGAGCCTCGCGTTCCCGTGCTGGTCCAGGTGACTGCTTTCTCTTCCCTGGCACTCTCCCGTCTCTGCGGCTCTTACACATTGCCCTTTGGTGGGGCCACTTCTGCATGTCGCACACCGCCATCTCGGATGTGGTTTGCGCAGGTCATGGCCGAGCTGCACTGTCTTCTCCCTTGCATTATGTAGCCTTTTGCGCTTGGGCTTTGGTCGCTGAGCCACCTTATTGGGATCCTCAACCGTCACCGCCATGCTGATGCCCAGCAGCCTGTTCTGGACTGCCGCCGTGATCTGGTCCCTGACCTGCTGCTGCGCGAGTATGGCTGGGCCCAGCGCTCCGTGCTCCGCTCCCCAGCTTGCGTACTTGTCTGCCATCTCGTTGCCTATGACCCACCGCGTTGGTCCTGTCCACCTTTCCTGCTCCGTCGGGTGCTCGATCATGTGGGCGATCACGACCGTGATGTCGCTGCCCTCCTCGTTGAAGTAGTTACCCTCAAAGCCTGCGGGTCTGTCCTGTGCGCCGAGCGAGCCTCTGGCGATGGCGCATGTGCCTCCTCGTGTGCCTTCGCCTTCTCCTGGCCGTGCTCGAGTCCAGTAGCTGCGCAGGTCATGCCGTCTCAGCGCAGCTCGCGCCTTGCTGATCAGCACTGGCTGGCGGAGGTGATGCTCCGCTATGCCGATGATGTCCCTGTCCTTGGTGCTGCTGGTCTCCTCGAGGTAGTCCTGGGCCTGCGGGCCCCAGGTCGTGATGTTGAAGAAGTCCACATTGAACTGGCGGCGAGCCTTCTTCGTGCTCGCCTGCAGCCGACTACCCTGACGGGGCTTCTCCTGTCCCTTCCGCAACCACCTTGTCCGCCCTCTTAGCCTGCGCAACCATTTCTCGTGCTTGCTGGATGTGTGTGTCCACTCGGGCACGTCGATCTGCTGCTTTGTCTGCTCCAACTTTGGCTGCTTCAGCTGTGTCGGCCTCAGCGGCGCCGGTAGGCGCAGCCGCTGTGCATGCCCCTTGAGGCTGCGGCTCCTCCAGGCTGGCCGCGCTGCGGCGTGGGGCTGGGGCAGATTTTCTAGCCAGGGGGAGCCTTTTGTTCTTCGTCACCTCCTGGCTCCTGTGCTTCCGTCTGGCGCTATGTGCGCGCCTGCTCGAGGAGGCGCAGCTGCTCCTGGTGCTTGGCAGTCTCCTCCTCCAAGTGCCGCAGGTGCTTTGCCGCCTCCTCCTCGTGCTCCTTGACTTTCTGCGCCATCGACTCGCCTTTTGCCTTTTCTGCTCGCCAGGCTTCCTTGTCAGGTTCTGCTCATTTGTGGAAATCGTCTGGCTCTTTCTCGAACTGCTCCAGGAGGGATGCCAGTGCCGTCTTCTCTGCTCCAAGATGTTCTGCTGCTGGCACTTCGGGCTTTCCGACCTGGGCCTTGAGCGTGTCGAACTCTTCCTCCGCGACGATGGATGCTGCCATGGCGTCAAGAAGCTTGCGTTCGCTCTCCACCAGGTACTGCTTGGCGCTTTCCACCTGCTCTCCTGCTGCTCGCGCCTTCTTCTGGAGCTTATCCAGCCTTCTGGCGGCGGCTTCCGCTGCCTTGAGTCCGACAGGTTCTGCGGTGGTCGGCTTTGCCGCGGCCAGGTCTGGCCAGAGCGCCTCGTAGTGGGCCCTGAGCGGGTCATCCTTGCTGAGCTTGTTGTAGGCTGCGGCGGCTGCGGCCTGGAGGCTGACCATGTGGTCGCGCTGGCCTGCATTGTCGCCGCCACCTGCGCTGCCTCCTGGCTTCCAGCCGGCAGCCCATGTGAGCCTTGGCGTTCCTCCTCCCTGTGGCTTGGCTGCCAGCGCCCCTCCATCGTCGCCCTTGTAGACGTGGCCCTCGGGCACGAGGCTGCCGAGGCTGCTGCCGCAGATGCAGAGGTCGCCCTTGCTGGTGATGTTCCTGCAATAGCGCCACCTGCCGCAGCCACACGCAATAGAGCTGCTGCGCGGAGGACGGCTCCCACTGCTGCCGCTCCTCCACGGGGGCCGCCTCTGGCCATGCGGACTCCCCGTCCAGGCGCTGCCCGCCCCGCGCCCACTGCCGCCGCGCCCCGTGGCTGCTGCGGTGCCGCGCGCGCGCCCCCGACGCCCGTCGGGGGTCTGTCCTCGGTCCAGAGGGCCCCCTTCGGCCTGGAGGCTGGACAGCCCCCCAGGTCATCATCTTGAGCCAAAATGGCTACGGGGAGGAAGAGGAGGAGGAGGAGGAGGAGGAGGAGGAGGAGGAGGAGGAGGAGGAGGAGGAGGAGGAGACATTCCCTGGACATTCCCCTGACGACATGGTCGAGAGTCGCCGCGCCGCCGCCCGCCCACCTCAGGGCGTCTTCGAGGCGGCGGCGCCGGCGTCGGCGGCCCGCGGGCGGCCTGGCCCCGTGCCTGGGGGCGCGTCGGGCCGAGCCAGCGGCGCCCGCTGTGCCCGCCCGCAGCAGGGCCCTCCTCCAGCGGGCGAGGCGCGCCTCCCGCGCGGCGAGCCGCCGCCGGGTCTCCGCGCCCCCGCTGGCGGCTTGGGCGGCGGCGTGGTGCCCGCCAGGAGCTGCCTCAGCGTCGCCAGCGGCGGCGCCTTGGTCTTGGGCGGGCTGCTTCTCCTGGCCGTCGTGGCTGCTGGGCTGGACCTCGCTCTCTCTCTTGCGGCCTCCAGCGCCCTCCTGGCTTCTTCGCGTCTCCTCTGGCTGGCGACTGTCTCGCACTGCTTGAGCTCCAGGTCGGGCTCCCTCGGCTGGCACTGCCTGGCCAGTCCTCTCGGCGTCGCCGCCGCTCCCAGCAGCCGCGTCGCCCTCGCCTCGGTCTCCTGCTCGCTCAGCTTGGGCTTGGGCGGTCTCGGCGGGGAGCGTGGAGCGGCGGCTGCAGCCTCCTGGCTCCTATCAGCTCGTCGCTCCGCTTCACTGCGCCTCTGGTGGAGCCTGCCGTGCCTGTCCAGCGCGCCTGCCTGGCTCAGCGTGCGCCCCGCAGCGCGGGGCGTTCCCCTCCCAGCATCCCTCGTGGAGGGGCCTCTGGGCACTCCTGGACCCAGGGGTGGGAGGGGGTCCTCGCGCGGGGGAGCCAAGTCGCTGACGACCACCGCGGCGTGGACGTCGCGCGGCTCCTCGTCAGATCTTGCCGCATCTGGGATGCCATCCTCAGGGTTCGCATCTGACGCATCCGCGCCCGTCCTTGCAACACCTGGGAGGCTATCCTCAGTCATCACGTCTGGCTTGTCTCCTGGCCACGTCCTCCACTCCTCTGCGTCTGCAAGCTTGGTCCAGCTCTTCAGCGGGTATCTCCTCGACTCGCATGTGGGGCGGAGGCGGCAGGGTGCCTGCAGCTTTCCGAGACCATCTCCGTGGCGGAGCTCACACGGAGCGTGCAGAACCAGCGCCTCTGGCGGCCCAGCCATCGCAGGGGGTGCGATGGGTGGGAGGTGTGGCCGTTGAACTCTATGCGCCTGCCTGCCGCTGGGGGCGGGCCTCCGCACTTCTGCTCGAACCACTCCTTGATGCTGGTGAGGGCCGTCGCCGACGTGACCGATTGGTTGCAGCACTTGCACCTCCACCCTCGTCCTCGTCTGAGCTTCACCAGGTCGTGGGTGGTGGCTGGCCGTCTGAGGAGGTCGTGCGTGAGGAAGTCCGCCTTGACCTTTCTCAGCGCTCTCCTCTGCATGACCGCGCGCCGCCTCGCCAACTTCAGCTCTTTGTTCTCTGTCGGCCTCCGCTCCATGGCGTCCTGGGTGCAGGCCGCAACGCGCGCTCTTACCAGGCTCGCTGTCGCCCGCGCCCATTCGTAGCAGCCCATCTGGTTCTCGGGGATGGCGTGCTGCTTGGCCCCTGCATCAGCCAGTCTGTCTGCTTCTTGGTTTCCTTCCCAAACCTCCCTCGGGATGTGCTTCTCCTCCGCCTCCGTCTCCGTCAGGTGGCTGTTCAGGTGGCACATTGTGATGCTCTCTCTGCCTCCTCCTCTCTCGGCGATGGCCTTCCGCGCGCGGCGCCAGAGGTCGCAGTTGGCTGCTCCTTCTGGACGCTCGTCGCGCCGTGCGTGCCAGCCGACGAAGGTGATCTCGCTGTCCGTCCAGAAGGTCAAGCCCCCGCACGTCGACCCCAGGCAATTGATGAACGACCACAGCTCCGCCCTGTTGTTGGACTGGCGCGCGCCTGGCAGTGGGCCGAACTTCGCGGCCCTGGTCGGGAAGCCTCTGGAGCGTCCGCTGGTGTCGAGCATCACCCAGCTCCACCCGCATCGCCTGTACCTCACGTCGCTGCTGTACTCGCCGCCTGAGCCGTCCCCGCTGATGGTGAGCTGCTCTCCCTCTGGGGCCTGCAGCCTGCCTCCCTTGAGGCACTGCCCCAGCGGCGTCTCCTGCTTCTCGGTGCAGCACGGGGGTGGCACCGTCCAGGCCTTGGGCGTGAGCCCTCTGAGCCAGAACGCTGGGGCTCCCGCCACACCTGCTTCGGCTCTCGCAACGAGTCCTGCCGTCTTCTCGACCACCTCCGGGGGCTTCCTCGCAGGGCATGCTCCCCAGATGCGGTGGAAGTCGTCCTCGCGCTGCCCGCGCTCGCAGGTCTCGTCGCCAATGTTGAACTCCTGGCGCTTCCTTGCCTGCGTCCAAGTGCCTGCGCACGCTGCCGCCAGCAGCGCTCCGTAGGTCTGGTGCTTGCCGCGCTTTCTGATGGACTTCAGGTGCTTGATCATATCCGTGCAGTCCACCCCGTGCTCCATGCCAGCGCCGTTGTGGTGAGCTGCTGCCTGCCTCCACAGCTGCCTCCTCGCGCTGTCCCGGAGCGCCTCTGTGATCTCCTCTGGGTCTCCGTCCTCCTCGTCCTCTGGGAAGCGCCATCTGCTGCCGTCCTCGTCGATCCAGATGCCTGGCTCCCTCGAGTCCCAGCCTAGCTCCCAGAGCAGCAGGATGATGCTTCCCATCGCTCCTCGCCTCTGCTGCCAGCGCCCACTCGGGTCCGTCTGCAGGAGCCTGAAGTATACCCTGGGCCAGGCCTTGCGCGCCTGCTCCCGCAGTTCCTGGCTCTTGGCCCACAGGTCGAACCAAGCTCTGAGCTGGCTCCGCGCCATGGCGACCGCTGGGTCGACCCCTTCCAGCGCCGGGAAGGTGGCGAGGCAGCGGCCAGGCCACGCTCTCCTCAGCGCCTGCGCATACCTCCTCCTCGCGTGCCTGAGGGCCCACGGAGAAAGCCCGTGGGCGGCGACCCCGTACACCAACGAGGCTGATGGTCCTTGGTGGGCCACTCCTCGCCTCCTCTTCAACTTCAGCTTGCGCAGCTTGAAGCCAACCGCTCCGGACCTCTTGTACGCATCCTTGGCCCTCTTCGCATGCGTGAGCCTCCTGGTAGTACCTCTTGCTGCACGGTCAACTCCGAGGTCTCTGCCCTCTGTGACAGCTTTGACCTTAATCCCAAGCCGGCTGAGCCTGGTCTGCGCCTGGAGCGTGGTGCCGAAGTCCGAGGTGAAGATCAGCGTCTTGTCTGCCAGGCTGAGCCCGTGCTGCTCCAGCCCCCACTTCAGCTTGCTCGTTGTCATCGTGAGCTGCTCCGTGACCGCCTCCTTGCTTCCGACGACCTTGATTCTGATGTCGTCGAACCAGGCTCGCGGCATCGGCTTGGGCAGCACCGAGGCGACGTCCACCATGTGGCTGAGCACCGCGTAGACCACCGTCTTGGCCACGTTGTTGGAATGCCTCGAACCCGACAGGATCGATCTGTCCGCCAGCATCGGCTCCGAGTACGAGTTCTTGCACCTCAAGATGCGGGCCCCCGAGTGCTGCAGCAGCAGCATGGTGAGGAGCCTCGGGCAGAAGTTCAGCTT